CTGTCAGAATGGCTAAAATCAAAAACACCAATGACAGTTCATGTTGGAGAGGATGTGGAGAAAGGGGAATACTCCTCCACTGCTGGTGGGAGTGCCAACTTGTACAGCCACTTTGGAAATCAGTATGGCGACTCCTCAAGAAAATGGGAATGAGTCTACCACAGGATCCAGCGGTTCCACTCTTGGGCATATACCCAAAAGAAGCACATTCATACAACAAGGACATATGTTCAACGATGTTCATAGCAGCACTATTTGTAATAGCCAGAAAGTGGAAGCAGCCTAGATGCCCCTCAATGGAAGAATGGATAGAGAAAATGTGGTACATTTACACAATGGAGTACTACTCGGCAGAAAAAAAAAATGGAATCTTGAAATTTGCAGGAAAATGGATGGAACTAGAAGAAACCATTCTGAACAAGGTAACCCAATCACAAAAAGACAAATATGGTATGCACTCATTCATATGTGGATTTTAGACATAGAGTAAAAGATTACCAGCCTACAATCCACACTGCCAGAGAAACTAGTAAACAAGGAGGACCCTAAGAGAGACATACATGGTCCCCTGGAGAAGGGGAAAGGGTCAAGATCCCCTGAGCAAATTGGGAGCATGGGAAGAGGGGGGAGGGAGCTAGGAGAATGAGAAGGGGAGAAGAGGAGAGATGCAGAGGACATGAGGGAGCAGAAAGCTTGAGTCAGGTGAAGATAGGGTCTATTGGAGCCACCAGGCTGGTAGGACTTCACAGCACAAATCAGCTAGAAACCATAGAGCAAGGAAACAAATACTTGGTCACCCTTCTGTGGCTTGTGTCCCCTGCTGTCAATCTCCATCTCCTGTTTGTCTTTCTCGTGGTCCCCATTGACCTGTCTTGCTTCCTTTTCTGATAACCCCTCTGTTAGGATGTAAAGTTGCTGTGCTGGCTGTTAGGCTCACAGTTGGGGTCTTGTCATGGCTAATCTTTATCAACCTGATTGGATTAAGAGATGTGAAAGGCATTAGTAAGGCATACCTAGGGTTGCATCTGTGAGGTCACTTCTGGTAACTGAGAAGATGTACCCTGGTATGTGCAGCACCATGCCATGAGCTGAGAACTTGATCTAGATAAAAGGGAGGAAAGCAGAAGCAATAAACGATGCCAGCATATACCCCTCACTCCCCACCCCCACCCCCACCCCTGCTTTGCTGAGTTGGGAGGACTCTTCAGGCACATGCTCCTACTACAGTGAGCTCCACTATGCCTCGGGCACCATATAAACTGTTCCCTCTTAAACTAGAAGTCAAAAACAAGTCATTTCCTCAAGTTTCTTCAGTGGTTATTTTGTCACTGTGATGAGAAAAGCGACAAAGACACTTTCCTAAAATAAAATGAAAAGTATATGTACTTTGTGATGTCCTTGGGAAATATGGACACTCACAATGTTGGCTGAATGTTAACGTGGGGTCCCAAACTGCTAAAAACACCAGCTAAATACAAAAGAAAGATGCTCTGAGGGAGGGCAGGAGCAGTGGGTTCATTTGAGGGCAGCAATCAGCTTCTCCTCCTCTGCTGTGCTGGGAGGCCTGTGTCCACTTAAACCAGCCACAGAGTTTCTTCATCTCATTCCTTAATTGCCACATAAATGCACCATTCTGGAGCTGAGCACGTGTGGGAGGCTTTTCAATTAACTTTCAGTATAAGTTCACTGGACCATCGGTCTTCAAAATGACACCTTATCAAACCAAAAAAGTTAATGCAGCACCAAAAAAAAAAAAAAATGCTCTTGTGTTCAAAGGGCAGCTGGCTAGTCAAGAGGGCATACTTGGCTCATAGGGCTGTAATTTAAGTCCTTAAATCTTGCTTCCTAATTTGACTTTCGTTTTTTCTCTTCTCTCTTCTCTATGCCCTTCACTGGCTCTCTCTGAAGTCACAATTTAGAGACTGTATGGTAAGTGATGCCCTTGGTGGGATGTATTCTCCACTTAATAGAAGAACTCAGCTTTTGAGAGAGGTCTAGAACCCAACTCTGTGGACCAGAAAATGGGGACAAATTGACTCCAAAGCCATCGACACAAAACATAACTAAAACACCCAAGTGTTTTAGGGACTTTGAGTAGCATCTGCTACTGCTTAGGACTGGAGACAGGCATCTGTTTTGGTTATGAGGGTAAGAGGACTGGTGTCTTGAACCCTTCTGTGCCCTGGGGTAGTGCTGCCTTTGGCAGAAGTGACTTGTTGCCTGAAGATCAGTAGATCCAACTTACCATGTCACATTTGGTTCACAGTTTACTGATGCAAACTGATAGGTGACACTGGCCAGGAGCTGTAGGTTGCTGTGTTGTATGTGGAAGGTTAAGCTTGTGCCTTGGAGTAGAGAGAAGTAATCTCTGTTCCTTCTGAGCCTCCAAGTTTTTATTAAGAACAATATCCAGAGTTTGTGTGCATCATGTAGTTGTTATGGGACACTGGAAAAAAATGGAAATGGGGGGAGAGAGTTTATAAAAGTAGAATTTCCTGCATCATTATAATGTTTAAAAAAAATACATCATTTGTATTTGGCAAACTCATTCTAGAACACAACATTCTCCATGATTTGAAAAGCAACCCATCCACAACAACCAGAGTTGTAAGGCACACAAAAATCACAGGATAGGGAGAGAGCCAAGTTGGGTAAAGTGCTTGCTATGCAGGTGTGAGGGCCTGAGTTCAATCCCTAGAATCTACTTAAAGAAGCCAGATGTGTGGTGCATGCTTGTAATCCCAGTGGTAGGGAGGTGGAGACAGGCAGATCCCTGGGGCTTGCTGACCAGCCAGCCTAGACTATACTTTGGACCAATGAGAGCCCTTGTCTTAAGAAACAAAGTAGAAAGAACCTGAAGAACAATACCCAAGGTTTACTTCTAACTTCTATATGCACATATGCACCCACATGAACCAAAACACACTCACACACCCCTATCAGTAGTTTCATTTCTGGTTTTTGTTTTGTTTTGTTTTGTTTTGTTTTGTTTTAGGAACATGCCACGTATATTACATATACAAATATATATATGTGTGTACATACATATAATATATATGATGTAACAACAATGTAAAAGGAGCCCATGAATTTGAAAGAGACCAGAGAGAGTCACATGGGAGGTTAGGAGGGAGGAAAGGGAAGGGATAAATGATGTAATATATACTAATCTTAGAACATAAAAGAAATAATTTAACAAAACCAAGAACAACTAAAGAGAAGAAGGGCTTATCTTGGCTCACAGTTTGAGGGTGGAGTCCCTCATGGTGGAGAAGATGTGATAGCAGGGCCATGAAGCAGCTAGTCATATTGTGTGAGCAGTTAGAAGAGGGCAGAGCTTCATCCCATGAAAGGGTACTGCCTACAGTTATGGTGACTCCCACATCAACGAACCCAGTCCAGAAACTCCCTCACAGACATGCCTCAAATTTTTGTCTTTTTAGGTGACTCTAAGTCCTGGGAAGTTTGCAATCAAGTATTAACCATCCCTCCATGCTGTCCTGAAACAGAAAACAGTAGATAGGATTTAACATGACTGTTAGATTCTAACCAAAGACTCCCCAGATAGAGGTCACTTAGAGTCAGATTGTTTTAAAACTAAACCATGGTTATAAATGAGAGCTAATGTAACGTGGACTCATTGTGTGTTCTTAAAAAGTGGAGTAATTTAATGAATCATTTAGAAGAACCTTGGCAGGGTGAGCAAGTTGAACTGAAGGAAGCAAAAACAGCAGCAATAGAAGTTAAAAAGACTTCAATATTGCAAAACCAAGGAGCTTTCTCTTTCTTGTCTGAAAGCTGAGCCATACAGAATATTTTTTCTAACCCCTTCATCATAGCATCCTGAGGTTATCCATAAGATACCCATCCACACTGGCTTTGGGCCAGAAGGAATCTGTGCCTTTAAGTTGCCTTCCCATCTCCCTTAGAGCTCTCTTCACTTGGACAAAATGACATCAACCCCTTTGCCTCTGAATAGACTTGAGATCGTCACCTACTCCCAGAGGACTTGTGTTCCCAAAGGCAGTCCATGTTCACACAGCTGGGTCTGCAGTCCATGAAATGGCTGGGTGGCCTCCTGCCCTCAGGATGTGATTCTCTGAGGGCATCTTCATGACTTTGCTTCTTCCCTCTCCCATGCTCCTCAACTAGCTGGAAGGGAGAACCAGATCTGTGAAACAGGAATAGCCTGAGACATAGGAGAGTCTGGGCACCTGGGGGTGTTACACCATTGTCTGGGATAGGGATCAGCTGCTGACCTTGGGGGGGGGAGGAACAGAGGAGGGGCTATCAGGACCAAATGTCCCTCCAGGACTGGAAACCCTTGTTACCCTTAAGAACACTTTCTTCATCATGTAAGGCTTTCTTGGGAATCCCTGGGTTTCTGAAAGCTGGCTGACTAAGCTCTGTGTCTGAAACTTCACAGCTCATCTTTCATCATGGCCAACAGTAAAATCATCAGTTAAGTTGTGGTCTCTGGGTACTTAGTTCCTTGGGCCATTAGCCAATCAATAGGTTACAGGCTTTCAGTAGTTCCTATGCGGATTGGTGGAGCTTTACAAGCCATTACCAGACATTTGCAGACTATTTGCAATGTAAGAGCCTGGTGATGGAAGTGGGGGGCACAACTATCTAAAGGTAAGTACAGTAAATGGAATCTTGGCCCATGAGGGCTCTGGTACCAGGACAGCAAAGACCAGACAGATGAATCAGGCTGGTCTGGAAAGTTCTCTCATGAAGAATTCATTCCTTTTTCTCTGCACCTTCCAGTGAGTAGCATGAGATTTGAAGAGGCATGTAAGGAATGTAGGCTCAGGGCCAGCCAGGGCAGAACTTTTCTCTCCTCTCACAGCCATGTTGCATGGGGAGCATCCTCTTTTCCCCAAAGCAGTCCCTGGACACCACTCACGTCTACTGACTCTGAGAAGTCCACAGCATCCCACCATGGAAGAAAGGGTTCAGTGTGGCTCAGTGCAGAGATTCTTTTCCCATGGTTGGGAGATTATCCTGAGTCTATGAGCTACTTTTTATCACCACCCCTGTTTGTTTTGAAGTTACAGAGTTCTTTATAGGATTCTGGAGGAGTCCCATTTCATTCTTCAAGAAAGTCTTGGACTAAAAGGTAAACGGTGTGACTCAGTGAGCCACACTACAGCTTCCAGGGCGAGATTTTTCTTTTTGTTGCTGTTTTGTTTTGTTTGTTTGTTGTTGCATTGGCAGAGGGTGGGTGTAAGGAGAAGGGGAGATAAGTGGGATCAGGACTCATGATGTGAAGTTCACAGAGAATCAATAAAAGTAAAGAAAATAGATAGATAGATAGATAGATAGATAGACAGACAGACAGACAGACAGACAGATAGATAGAGTCTTATTTGGTATTTGGTGTGGTGTGGTGTATGTACATATGTGTGTGCTTGTGTGTGTTTGTGCATGTGCAACTGTGTGTGTGTATGCTTATGCATGTTTGTGCATATGGAGGCCAGAGGGCAATTAATGTCCACATCTCCTCTATCACTCTACCACCTTAGTTCTTAAGACAAGGATTTTTTTTGCTTATTATTTTGTTTGTGCATTTCATACATAAGTCTGCTCTCCCTTCCCTCCAAATCCTCTTATGAACTCCACTACTAGTCTTTCTCAATTTCATGTATTGTTTCTTTAAGCCCACTGGGTCCACTTAGTGTTGTTAATATAGAGCATCAACTGGAGCATGGGTAACCTCTCAGAATCCACACCCCTGAAGAAAACCAACTTTCTCTTTCCCACAAGCCATGAATAGTCAGTAGTTCCTCAGGTAGGGGTGGACTTCATGCCTACATCCCTACTCCCTCCTGGGATTTTATATGATTAGATCTTGGGCAGATCTTCTACATGTAGTCACAGGCACTGTAAGTTCATATGGGCAGGTACCCTGTGGTATCTGGAAAACACAGCTTCACCACAGCTGTCACAGTCTCTGCTTCTTACAGTTTTTCTGCCTCTCTCCATCAGTAATCCCTGAGCCTCAGGAGGAAGAGATATGATATAGACGTCCCCTTTAGGGCTGAGAATTCTCTTATTCCTTGCATGTTAATCAGTTGGAGGTCTCTGTGTTAACCGCCATCTGCTGCAAAAAGCAGCTTCTCTCGTGAGGTTTGAGAGATACACTCATCTGTAACTATAAAGATAAATCTTCAGGAGTTGGTTTAACACTATGCCCATTTAACAGAATAATAGCAGTGGGTTCTCCCTAGGATCTATGACATGCCTATCTGTAGGTTCTTGGCCCCATTAACCGTACCAGGAATGAGTTCCATCTTGTGGAGCCGAACCTAAAATCCACTCAGAAAGTGGTTGGTTACTCCCATGACATTCATGACACTATTGCACAAGTGGACATATTTTATACCAGGCCAGTCAGTATTGAAGCTCAGAGTTCAAAGTTGGGTAAGACTGATGGTCATTGCCCAATACCCACCCATATCATATGTAGTTCCTTCCAACACTGTGAAACCTAAGCAAAAGAATGAAGCTTCCAGATTAGTACCTGCTTGATTTCTTCATGTTCTTTGGCTAAAGTGTGTTTGCAGTGATAAGGTATTATTTCATGCCCTGGGGCAACATAATAGTTTGGGGAGAGGGGTCCATGGGACCACCCTGACCAATAATTCCAAATGATGTAACCCATACCTGGCAACAGGCAATCTTAATCATTAGGAAAATAAAAACTAAACTCAAGGTGACTAGGGCTAGAAGCAATCTGTGGCTTGGGGCTCATCATATTCATTGTGCTTCTATTGTCGCATTGTCTCCTGTTCTGTGCTAAAATTTTCCCTGCCCCCCCCCAAGACATTTAGGGTTATAGTTGGGTCCACCCAGGATAATCTTTGCATCTCGAGAACCTGAGATTGGTTATGTGTGAGAAATCTCTTGCTATATAAGGCAATATTCATTTTTAGGACATTATTCAAGCCACCAAAAGAGCTATTCTGAAAGTCTGGTGTGTGTGTGTGTGTGTGTGTGTGTGTGTGTGTGTGTGTGAATGTAGTGGGGTAATGTGTTTTCAAGATACTAGCACTTGGACTGAGTAAAGAATCTGTGGACTGAGTAAAGCAGATTGCCATTATCCACTGGGAGCACAGACCAGTGTCTTCCTGCTGCCCTGGTTATATAGAATTTCCCTCCCTGTAGCCACCACCACTGCCAAAACCTTCAGAAAACCATGGCCCCAATCCACACCCAGCAACATCACTGGCTCCTCCTCCAACTATATGCCTGTGAACAACATTGTGAGAAGAAATTAAGAGAGCAAAGAGAACGAAAGGAAAGAGAGCTCATGAAGGGCGGGACACCTGGAATTTGCCTTGTGTCAACTAGGTTAATTTTGTTAGTCACATCTAATCATGACTTTTGTAATCCTCAGTTTGACTCAGAATGAGACTGGAGAGATTGTTTTAGATACTGGAGAGGTCCATGACAAAGAGGCCCTCAGTTACTCACAAAGATATAAACCACATCCTCTCTCCATAAGACTGGGTTCCAATCCAGATATTTGGGAGGAAACACCTCTACACAGGGTGTGAACAGACTTTCCATTTCCCCTAACAATGTACATAGCTATCTATATATTATTTGTATTAGTCAGGCATACTATATAATGTGGCTTGAAGTATATGTGACCTGCGTAGGTCGCAAGTGATTATTATGCCATTTTATGCGACAGTCTTGAGGAGCCATGGATTTTGTTAGTCACAGTGGGTTCAGGAACCAACTCCCCATGGTTTCTGACTATCAGTTTACCAGTAAGTAGGGGCAGCCACTGGTAACTCTGAGTCTGTTAAAAACAGCAGCCTATAGCAACTAGACACCCAGAGAACTGACCCAGGATGTGCTCTACAAAGACTGGATTTCTTCTTTTCAGCCTGACTAAAACCAGAGCAAGCCCTGAAGGAAAATGAGGACAGATGCTCTACTATCCAAGAGCTGCCTGCTCAGCTGCCTCCTCCTCACAGTTCCTGGACCAGAGAAACAGCCTCCAGTTATTCCCTGGAGATAACTCCAGACAATTTTCATCTCTTGGAAACAGGCCTGGCACTCTGGTCGGAATTTAACATAAGTGGGATGACATGTCAAGCATCTCTGAGCTCCCATGAAGCAGATAAAGTTATTCTCCACAGCCTTCTCTCCTCCCAGGGGCCCTTCTAGTCCGCACTCTTCCTCCCAAATTTCCCAACCATAAAAACCCCAGTACTGGATGCTCATTTTTTTGAGATTGTATTAGTGAAAGAAAGTAAACAAAAAGTTGAAAGGTAAAATTCGTAATATACTAAAAGCCCAATGGCTGGTACATATAATTTGTGACCTAGGTCCTCTACATACATGTTACAGTTCTGTAACTTGGTCTTCATGGTGGACTCCTAGCAGTGAGAGCAGGGGATGTCTCTGACTCTGTTCCCGATTTTGGGACCATTCCTCCTGCCAGGTTGCTTCATCCAACCTTGGTGGAAGAGGGGGTGCCTGATCTCACTGTAGCTTGATACACCAAGGCTGGCTGATATCCATGGGATGCCTGCCTGTATCTGAAGAGAAACAGGGGAGAAGGAGTGAAAGGAGGGGGAGATGGGGAGGACAGACTGGGAAGAGGGGAGGGAGGGGAAGCTTTGTTACATAATAGCAAGAAAATAAAAAAACAAACAAGACACTCAGAGGGAATGGGCTTTTTTGTAAAGGAGACAATACACAGCCTTGAAAGATGAACCAGTTAGACAAAAGGAGGCCAGGTGGATGTGGGAGGAATAAAAGAAGGCTTGTAGAGAGAACAGCAGGAAGCACAGTTGCACAGAAACAGGGCAGCTCTGGGAAGCTTCTGGTATCACTGGAGTCTGACCTTGACCTTTAGCAAAGTCTAAACCAAGGTGACCAGAATAAAAACACCGAGCCAAGACTGCAATGCAGTTAATGTGGCCAAAAGAGAGTGATGTAGCCACCTGCCTCAATATGTTCTCCGCCTGTTTAAGGTACCACTGCCCTAGGCCTGGAGCCATCCTCCTGTCTGTCTTAGAGCCCCACCACTATACAATAGCACATCAATTTCAAAACATGTCCCAAGTCATGTCCCAATGAATGCCCTTCATTGCTGCCTCTCCAGGGCCTTTTCCCTTCTGCATCGCTGAGACAGCCTGGAGCCTGCCTTGCCTCCACATTCTTGTCTCCTGCAGTGTACCCTGCAGGCAGCTGCAGGAGTCAAAGCAGTTCACTTCCCTCCAGGGCTTTCCACAGCATCTGTTTAGTTCCTCCTTGGCCAGAGCCTAAAGGTCCTCCTTGACCTACGCCAGCCCTTTCCCCTACCTCAAGCCATTCTAAAGATGATGAAGCCTCACACTGAGACAATTCTGCCTGTCCTACCATCTGGAAAACACTCACTATGGGCCATGGAGGAGTCTATCTGTATATGGTCTAGGAAAGGAATTGTGTGAGATTTCTGAGTGCTTGTGAGAAAACTCTAAGAAACCAAGACAAGTCTTCTGACCTCAGTTTCTTAAAAACAAACAAACACGGAATTAGTCTTGGATTATGCTTTCATGATCCTCCCAGATGTACTAGATAAGAGCTTAACTCAGATGATTCATTGCAACTGGCTATTATTTATTTATATGCCTGGATGGAAAAACATGTTTTTGATGCCTGTAGCTTGCCCACTATGTGGCCAAAAGAGAGTGATATATCCATCTGCCTTAATGGGTTCCAAGCCTTGTGATTGGACAATTTACTCACATACAATAACCCCCAGAGTACAAATTGTCTGATGCTCTGAATAAAATTGGTTATTACATGAGACTTTAGTCTGCTTCATTTATCAGCACCATTCTACCAGGTCCCACCACCTCTAGAGCAATAAACAGGAATCTAAGGACTTCATGTTTCAAATATCTCATTCTCCCTGTGAGTAGCCCTACAACTTACATGCTTCCCCCATACCTTGCTGAAGAAGCTGAGACAAAGAGGGCTGACATCAGTGACAGAACTGAGAATGGACGCCAGGTTCCCCATTATGCTGTACCTCTGGTTTTAGATATGGTTAGAGTGTCTCTCAAGGGCCCATGTGTTGGAATTTAATTTTTAATGTAAAGTATTAAGATGTTTAATAATCTATCATGAGTTTGTCTCCCTAATGGGTTATCTAATCCCAAGTGATCAACCCTAAACATACACACACACACACACACACACACACTTACATATATAACATTAATAATTAAAGAAGTTAATAATCTTTCTCTGGTAGAGCTATCTCTATGGTAGAGTTCCAGTAAGTATCTGAGTATTGGTGACTTTATTAGAAAAGGGAGAGAGCAAAACGTGTCTGTGTGTGTGTGTGTGTGTGTGTGTGTGTGTGTGTGTGTGTGTGTGTAATACATATTTTCTCTCTCTTTCTCTGGTACAGATCTCTCTATAGTAGAGATCCAGCAAGTAACGTGGAAGCTGCCCAGGCTGGACTGTCCGTAGGAAAGCAAATGTTCATGCAGACCCATGCCGTGCCACTGAACCATTACAAATCCACACAGGTACAGAAAACAATGTAAAAGAGGCCCAGCAAGTTGTTAACAGTAGTCTCCTCTATACATAGAAGGGTGCTGCTGTCTGCTGTCATTTTTCTTTCATGTCTATGTATAAACAGTTTATATACAACAGCAACAGAACAGTTCTTTGTTCAAATGTCATCTTTTGTGTGAGGTCTCTCACTCCCACATCCACACACTCATCCCCCCCTATTACCACTTTATTATCATCATGGATTATAGCTCTTGTGCATTACTTAATTATTTTAGTGCTTTTATGCCTCCTGGGGCTGGGCTTCAGATAAAGTTTCAACATTCCCCAAAGGTGTGTGATGGAGGTTTGGTCTCTAGTGTGGCCATGTTGAGGTGGGGGATGAGTAAGAAGTGGGTTCTAGTGAGAGATAATTAGGGCACAGATAATTAGGTACAGCCTCATAAATGGATTAATGGTGTCTCAAGGGTTGAGTCGGGTTTCCTGTGACTAGATTAGCCCCCTGGAGAGTGGGCTGATGGAAGCTAGGCCACTCCATGCCTTGTCCTCTTCCACTTCCTATATTGTGACATAGCCAGGAAGCTCTCACCAGAATTCCAGTGCCTTCTAGTCATCAGAATCATGAGCTAAATCAGCCTCTTTGTAAGTTCTCTGCCTAGCTAGACACGATGGAACACACCAGTAATACTTGCATTTGTGGGGTTGAAGCAGGCGAGTCATTACTTCAAGGAGAACTTGGGCTACGTAGCTCTAAAAGGAATCACCAGTATTGCTGTAACAAAGCAAAGGACCAAGACACCTCTCTAGAGTATGGGGATGAGATTCCTGTCTGTTTTGTTCACTCCGACATTCTTAGACCCTATTAATGAATGAAAGAATGAAATGTTGAATTTTTAGATAGTACATCATAGGCCACTTCTTCACCTGGCACAGATCCAGATTGGAGGCTGGCACAGCTATGGGTCCCAGGTTCCTTCCAGTTACTGTCATAGCACCATGTCCTCCATGCCAGAGGATTGTTGCCAGTGGGCAGGCAGCCTCAGTGCAGTGCCCAGCACTGTTACCTGCTCTTCTTATCTTTGTGTGTATAGGTTTCCATTATTTGGAAACTTCATTCATAACCAGCTCCATGTTAAATCTGCTCACCTCCATCAATGCCAATGAACATGGTCCAGTCCTGTCTTCCTGGCCACATGGAACAGCTGGTTTGGGCAATGTAAAGAAAGCCAGGTGCTAACTCCTTCCAGTCCGGTAGCTGACATTCAGAAACTTAACCCTTGGCCCCAACTTCTCCAGCACAAATTCTACACCTCCATCAACAGACTCAGGAGGCAAAGGCAGTCCACATAGACTCATTAGAGAAAGACACAGCTGGAATTTCCTTATTGCAAAAGAACTTCAGAGTATTTGTGATCCTAGCCGAATATACAACTGGATTTTATGAAGTAAAGGGGAGGATCGTTTGGCAAAACAATACTATTGCTGTGTACATGGCTGGTTTTCATTTGACTTCTTAACCATCGAAACATTGATATAAAAACATCAAAGAAAGCCCTGACATTCCCATTATGATCACAGTCTCCTTGCAGTTCTTATGTGTGAGTACACATACTCTCAGATTTTATTGCCTTTTTTCCATGCATGGGCTTGCAGCCTATGTTTAAATTCTCTTTTGTTTAAAAGGAATATGTTTTAAAACTTCCTCACTATAGTTTCTAAAGAATAGGTAGATGAAAGAGCAAATCCTGAAGCATCAGAAGTTGCTGCCCATCCTCAGTTTTACCAAGTACTCAAGCTCACTGGTCCTTGAACAGTTGGTCTTGACTTCTTCATATGCTTCAAATCTTTGGAGGATCTAAAAGAGCTTTTGTTTGGGTGAATTATATGTATCAGTATTTATTGGCATACATTAAAATTGAAAACTTAAAAATATTTATGTGTTCATTAAAATGAAAGAGTTTGGGGCTGGAGAGATGGCTCAGCTGTTAAGAGCACTGGCTGCTCTTCTGGCTTTGATTCCCAGCACTGACATAGCAGCTCATAACTGTCTGCAAGTCCACTTCCAGGAGACCTGACACGTTCTCAGGCATTCATGTGGTACACAGACGCACATGCAAGCAGAGTGCCCATACACATAAAATAAAACAAAAATATAAATAAATAAATGAAATGAAAGTGGTTCTGTAATATGTTATCATAACATAGTTTTATGAAGAAGGAGCATATTTTCACAATGAAAGAACATTAAATGACAGTACTGAAATTATTTTGCATTTTTTGCAAGTTCTTTAAAGTTTAGCCTAACAAAAGCCATCTGGAATCTCATCTCTGTTTCTGCATTTAATTTGCTGTAGTATGTTGCTTTAGTTGAAGTATTTGAAGGAAATCTAGTCAAACACGGTAATAGCAGTCAGGCTTCCACAGCCCCAGCTTTCACATCTGCAAACTTGCCCAACCAAAGAGTAAGAATAGTTTTAAAATGCACTGGTATTAGACATGTAAGGACCTTCCTCCCCACGAATCCCTGTCATTATTCCTTAAATAGCACATGATAGCAGACACTTATATGATGCTTACCTCATGTCAGGTATTGTAAATCACCCAGAGGTGATTTAAAGTGCACGAGAGAATATATGCAAATTGCATGGTATTTTCCATGGAGCACTTCAGCATCTTCCTATTTTGCTGTGCTCTGGGGATCCTCCATGGATCAGGGTGGGGGTGGGGGTGGTAGCTGTAACTGAAAAAGGGAAGCATGTTTTTGTACACACTTTTCAGATAATTGACCACCCTCTCCTTTGTTATTCTCTAAAACATCACACAAAGAGGGACTTTGCTCAAGAACTGTTGATGAGCACACAGCTCTGCAGAAGGGTGCATGCTTGCCATGCTTAGGGCCCTTAGTTCCCTCCCCTGTATCAAAAAATCCCCTTTTTATTAATAATGGTTCTCTCTCTCTCTCTCTCTCTCTCTCTCTCTCTCTCTCTCTTTCTCCAAGGTTTCTCTGCAGTTTTGGAGACTGTGCTGGAACTCCGTCTGTAGACCAGACTGGCTTCGAAATCACAGAGATCTGCCTGCCTCTGCCTCCTGAGTGCTGGGATTAAAGGCGTGTGCCACCAATGCCCAGCTTAATGATGGTTCTTAACTGACATCAATGAACTTCTGTTATACTGTGTGCTACTAAACTACCTCACACTTGGAACATATCCTTTTGCTGTCAATGCTTTTGACACATTGTACATTGGTCAATCTTTCACTGAATTATAAAGGCTGTTGATGATTACACTTTTTATTATACAACATCAAAAATATGTTTGTTTATAGGCTAGTCAAGTTAATCAGCAAGGTCTTTTACATATTGGGAAACTCATAGGTTCATAATGAGAACATAGATTTTTTTTTTTCCAAGACATTGTTTCTAGGCTAAAAAGCTTGAATCTTAGGCTGGTCTTTAGTTCAACAACAGAGCACTTACATAGCACTTATGAGGCTGGGATTTCATCCCCAGCATTGTAAAAAGACAGAAAAATTCATTTTATCATTGCAACAAACATTATCATTTGTTTTCTCTGAATGCCCTGTTCAACACAGCTTGGTCCTGAAAAACTGACAAGGGACGAAGAGAAAATAAAGAAAGGACAGGCACATGTTCACAGAAAAACTGGGTGAGGTGTTTACTGAAGTGGTACCCACTAGCACAGCACAATGGGGAGGAGTTAGCCAGTCTCAGTAGGAGGTCCCTGTGGGTGAGCAGTCTCCAGCTGTATACACCAAGGATGAAGAAGAAGTTGGAGTATTTCAGCAAAAAGATCAACCATTAGCAAACACTGTAGTTGTTTGCTTTTGTCATTCAGAAACTTTCCCTATTTCCTATGGGCCTAAGGCATTGGTTCTTGTCCTGACTGTAGCCTTGTCCACAACACACATTTGCTCTGGATTTAATCTGCTCTTTGCACATTTACTCAGAGCTTCCTGAGCACCCTATTCTATACTTGAAGTGACAGACTGATTTTGTTCTGGTTTTGTAAGATCCCTGTTAAATATTGCAATTGGGATAACTATAGACTTGTCAAACAAAAATGGGCAACGAACAGCAAGCAAATAAGCAGCTCTCTTCCACGGCCTCTGCCTCAGCTCCGGTCTCCAGCCTCCAGCCTCAAGCACTGTTTGAGTTCCTGCCTTGACTTCCCTCCTGAGGACTGTGATTTAGCATATGTAAGCTACATAAACCCTTTCATCCCCAAGTTGCTTTTAGCCATGGTGTTTCATTAAACCCCAAACTATATCAAAGCATAAAACCCCCTGCATTAGTTTTCTTAGTGTGCCAGATTTATTCACAGTTAATTTGCATCACAGAATAAGAAATGCAAATAATATCACAATATTAAATTTGACCTTGAAAACCCTCCTAATGGGTCCCAGAAATCTCCAAGGATCTGCACATCACAGTTTGAAACCCAGGACTCTGGAAAAATCTGGAGACTTGCTGCCTAGACAAATAGATACTTGACATGTGGCTTTGACCTCAGAGTCTCCTACCTGTGGAGAGGTGAGTGGGACAGGTATGAGCCCTAGGAGGTTGTACTGGTGTATCTACTAACCATTTCCCTGCTATCCTCCTAGGCCACTGTTTCCTGGGTCACAGCCTTTTCCTAGACCTGAAAGTCTTGCTGATCTTGTGGGAAGATGATGCATATAAAAATACCCCCAGGAAAAGATCTTCTTCAGGTTTGGTCAGAGCTGCCTAAACCACTTCCTCCTTTCCCTGGCCTGGACTTTGCTTCTAGCTAGGCAGTTCCAAGACAGAGCATTCTCACACCTATCTGGAGCCAAAAATATGGGAAAGAGGTTTTTACTCTTTTTTTTCCCCCTTGCATCACAATGACAAGTAGGTGAGGCAAAGCTTCAAGCTTTCATCAGTGTGTGAGGAGAGGCAGTCATGTGAGAGTGATGTGTTCTTAGATCCTGTACAGCTTCTAATGGTCCTCAATTATGAGTAACACAACAATACACATTTGCATATATGGAGGTTTTCACTGCTGGAATCTCTAAAGTCCAATGCCTCTACTTGTTGGTTTCAGCCAGCTTACACCCGGCCCCTGGGCAGGAAACACATTTCTATTGAGTGGTTTGGCTGGGTACTCATGATCTGTATGCACCACAGTCTCAATTCTAACAGAGAGCTACTCTCTCTCCCAGGAAACTTTAGCAATGGGAGTGGTACTTAGGATGTGTGGACAGCCACTTAACAAGACAAGAAGAACCAAGGTGATGCTGAAGGGGCAGGATCCAGAGAGCAGGAAGTAAATCACCAGGTGTAGGTGTTTTTGAGCATCTGTGTGGATTTGCCTTTGCAACGAGGAGATGGGAGTCTTAAACACTTGACTTGAAGCAGTAATATAAGAAATTATGCCACAAACAAAGAGTCTATGATAGCTAGCAAATGTGGATTTGGGACCAGATATATTTATTTTTCAATTGTATAAATAAGTGTATGGCCTTGGAAAAGTGACTGAAATTCTCCAAGCTTTGGTCTTCTTACAAAAACAGAAAGCATAAACGTTATCATCAACAGGGTTTCTTTTGTGTTTGACCAGTGCAGAACCCCAACTGATGAAAGAGAGAAAAGGAAAGCCTGGTATGAAGGCAAGTTCCTGTAACCTCAGCAACTTGAGGAGTGGAGACAAGATCAGGGGTTTGAAGCCAGCCTCAGCTACATAGTGAGGTCAGGCTAGCCTGTATTACATGAGATTCTATATCACAATGATGCAAAAATAAATGGGTGGGAGCAAATAATCAAGATATATATTTTTGTGCCTTCCCTATCACATAAATAAAGCATTCTTCAAGTCCCCCCCCACACACACACCATCATGAGGTTTTAGGAGTGTCCCTTGACAAAATACTCAATATTCCTCCTCTGGTGGCATGTTCTACAAAAACATCCCTCTCCCTCCGGGGTCATTAATCTTTCCTTGCCCGTTCCTCTGGCTATCCTCTGCCAACCATGCTATTCTCATGACTCTGCACAGTCCCTCACAGCCCCTCTGTTCTTCTCACATACTTCAATAATTAAGCCCAGTAACTGAATCCTGCTCAATTCTCCTATCTTTAGCTTGCTACAGATCCACAGGGGACTACACTAATAAAATGTCCTCTGCTTGTCTTCTGTTTTAGGACAGTACACCCCCCAGGACCTCTGGCTTCCAAGTGGCTTCAGCCCTTACAGACTTGTTTTTACACATACCCTGTGCCCTCAGTGGCTCCTGTGGGCTCCACCTTTTACCGGATAACTGGCTCATGGGTTTCAATAGCCAGCTCCTCCCAGTGTTTCTTCTGGCCCAGACTGTCAGTTGCCCCCACCATATATGTCTGGGTTCTCATGGCCCTCATCATCAGTATAACCAAATCCTTATATCACAGTTCTTTTGGTCTAAATATTTAAAATAATTTTCTTGTCCTACTTGAATATTGACTGATAAATTCATTAATCCTTAGTGTTTCCTACCTGTAAAACAAAGCTAGTAAAGATTACCTATCTCTAACAAATAGCATGAGAAAGAAATAATAGCAACCTCCAATAGATTATATAAGAATTAATAAATAAAAGAAAACCTGGTGGGCTTGGCCACTGCCTTGTCTTCCATCCTTATTCCCCACCCCTTTGTCTCATAGAGACACCTAGCACTACAGAACTTCCAGATTCTTAAGTCTTCCTTAGTTCCCATATAAATCCTGGGGTGACATATTTTATTTTATTAAAGTTACTTTACTCTGCACATCTTCTCTGCAAAAGCTATGGAGATTTATAAAACTTTCTTGTAGCTGACATGACATACATGCTCAGTGTGTGTGTGTGTGTGTGTGTGTGTGTGTGTGTGTGTGTGTGTGTGTGTCTACATATATATGGAAGAAAGGAAAAAGGGCAGTGGGTAAGGGAAAGGAAACAAGAGGGTATGCATAGTAAGAAATCTAACATTCCAGGGATCCTGTGGAATGTGAGCTAAGTGTAAAGGCACAGATAACAGGCGGCCAGGAGGTGGAGATCAGACATCTATGTAGTTAACAATTCCAGGATGTTCACCAGGAGACTATGCAGTGAGACTGAGATATGTCCCCAGCCCTGCTTTCTAGTCATGTCCTTCTGACATGACAAGTGGCTCCACTACCCATCACTCAAGGTAAGAAAAGCCAATGGTGGCATCAAGTTAGAAAAGAAGTGAAAGAGGTGTGGCCAGATGAGGCTAACAGAAACACAATGGCATAGAGCACGGGGCAAGTTTCTTCATATGTCAATGCTGGTGAAAATCAAAAACCTTCAGTGCCTAAAGAAAAGCCCACATCGAGCTGGGTTTAAGGCTTTGCTGTTTGTATAACCAAACCAATCTGTCACCTAATCTGCCCTTATCTTGGTGCTGCACTGCATCTTAGAGACTGGATCAGAACGTCCAGGCTGAGGGTCTCATAGGAGAGAGGCTCTTTTCTTTCCTTACCGGGCAAGGCTGGTAAGGAACAGCAGGAAAAGACTCATGTTTCTGTTGTGAAATGGAATTACAAACAGGGGATGTGATTCATGTCTGTAGACACATAGTATTCCCGACAGCTGATCAGGAAATACCATTTTGTGTCTAGTAAAGCCTCTTCAAAAGTTTGATGGAGACTTGATTGGAGTAGATGTTTTCAAGTGAATGCTTATTATCTCTTCAAGAACTCAGGCCATACTCCTACTATGTTCTGAGAAAATGTCTCATGCGCCCCCCCCCCACTGCCTCTCTGTGTCTGTCTCTCTCTTTTTCTGTACACATGCATAGAGAGAGAAAGAGGGAGAGAGAGAGAGAGAGAGAGAGAGAGAGAGAGATTGTTTGGAAAAAAGCATCACACAACATGAGGCATGCTTTTGCCTGGAGTATGCTGTTTATTATCAAGGCAGAATGAGTTTCTCTTAACTTGTAGTCAGTAAAGATAATTCAAAAGATTTAAAAGAACAAATAAATCCAACTCTCAATTTGTGCTCAATAAATAGGAGAAGGCCAGGGAGGAGGGCAGACATCTACACATTAAATAGATTTACAGTTTGACTGTGGCTTCTCCCCAAAGGAAATGAAAGCTGACCTACTCATCAGAGAGGGATCTTATTTATTTAATCATGTGTGTGTGCTTATTTGCTTTGCAGGGCAGCACCTAAATTTTCAGATGGTGTAGATGTCAGAGAGTCACCGGATCTTCATAGGAAACCTATAACACTCAGCAATAACTGGTAACTGGAAGTTTATTGGAAACAATTCCTTAGACATTTTAACAGACATTAAAGTGCATACTTTAATGAAAACATGCCATTTCATTGCCTAGAGAATCCATGAGGATAAACACTTCTCAGGGTCAAAGCAGAGCAAGGCGTCCGCTCAATGACTAAATAGTGGTTGACTAGTTGATTAATACCAAAGTATTTTAAATTCCTCACGACTTAACACAGAGATAAACCGGACTTGTTTAGACTTCTTCAGTCTTCAATTTTGAGGCATGCCTCACACACATTTGGAGATGTAAGGAGCCTCCCCCTACCCTCCCTGACTTCAGTACTTATCAACCCGGAAGTCACACACAGCTAAGGAGCAGCAGAAATGGTGTCTAAGGTTTGTCTGATAGATCAGGGAGGAGTTCTAGAAGCTTTACACATACAAACTTTGTTTCTCTAATCAGAAGAGTCATAGTCATTTCATTTTTGAGATGTTTCTGTGTAAATTCAGAAAACCAGTGCACAGACAGCTCTTCCATCTGTCATCTCTGCTTCCTTTACCCAGCTTGACCAAGGTAGTGACTAGTGGAGTCACCCTTGTCGTTCTCTTCTATAACTTACTGCTTGTTACTCAGCATTAGAGTGTCTTGATAGCCAGTCTTCCTTTCCTCCTAAGGCAGAACTTGCCTCATGCTCCCTTTTGATCCCATGTCCCCATAACTACCATGAGTCTTTTGGCTGCAACACTGACTTCTGTCCTTTTGTAGCTTTTATGGAGTCCTTATTCTTGCTCTGTCCTGTCTGCACTAGCTGCTAGGACACCCTTCTGTAGTAAGCTCGTGTTTCTCTTACACTGGCTGGGCTTGCTTCTGTGTTCCTTCTCTATTCATATACCCTAATGTTCCCATCGACATTCTTCTCTTGTCCAACCTTATTCTCACTGAAAACCAGCTTCTCATTAAGCCTCTTCTTGTGACTTCTCAGTCTTCCTGTTTTTCTAAGTTCCTCCAACACAGTGAACCGTGCCACTCAATTTAGCAACTGACTCAATACAGTTGTGAATCGTTTCAGGCGGGTCCATCTGTATGATTCATGTCTTCCACTGTAAGATAAGCCTTCTAAAGACAGAATGCTTATTTTTGGCTTCCCTGTATTTTGTGACTAGAGAAAAGTTTAGGAGAGAATATATGATTCAAGTAGGATCTGTTGACATGGCTGTGAAGCGCAATGGCCTTTGCAGCCAGACCAGTCCCTCATAGAGTTGTGATGATTATATCAGTTACTGTATGAAACCCTCCAAGCAATACAAGCACGTAGTAAGCCTCCTGCTATCTATCTACTCACAGTGCAGGTAAAACCTTGGAGTCTCAGTTTTCTTGCCTGCAAAATGGAGGGGTTAATGCTTGACAGAGTGGCTATAAAGATTAAATGTAAAAAAAAAAATATGTAAAGCCTCTTTCTTACATACTGTTTAACAATGACTAGATCCAATAGGTTGTAACAATGTTTCTTATTAATGAACTCTGGGGAAAAAAGAGGCAAGATTCAGTTCTGTAAACCACTTGTGCTCACCAAAAGAAGCTGTGAGCCTAGGGAGAGAGGAAGAACAGACTTAGCATCTTCCCAGCTTACATGGTGTAGTGTTGAGCTATCTGGGGGAGATTTACTTTATGAGAAGAAAAAAGCCTGTTTAGATGGAAGCAGTGTATATGTAGGGGCCTATAAAAATGGCTCTGCTTCATCTTGACTTAAGGTCAGAAAGTTCAAACCCAATATTACTCTTTCGAGGTTAAACAACAAAAATGTTTGGCCCGACGTGTGGCTAAACTAATGTGTGTCTTACCTTCACAAATGGATATTTGGCCTAAGAAGTAACTAATGGATGTCTTACTTTAACAACAGGATATTTAGTTTAACATGTGGCTATTGTGTGTCTTGCCTTGACAACAGGATATTTGGCTTAGGGTGTTTTGGGTATTGAGAAGGTAATTATGCTTGCTTGTTCTTTGTATCTTGGTGAGGCAGTCTTTTTGCCTTCCCCCACTTTTGATTGGGCTATATAAGGACTGTGAGTAATAAACTTGGAACTTTTTCCCCAGTATTCATTGGAGTGCCCTTCCAACTCTATCCTGTGTCTCTGCCTTTTCTTTAGTATCAATAATTTTTCTACCTGCTATTTCTTAATCCACATGCTTTCCTCCAAGCACGAACTGGACGAATAAGCCAGGCTGGACCCAGTTGTTGTTGTCTCCTGGACTCCGGATATTACACATATAATGGTTCAACTCTAGATCCAACAAATACCCCATTGTAGAGGTCACTGTCACTCACGAACAATGGCTCAGGGATGGGAATCAGGCCTTTGTTCTTCTCAGTGTGATTCTCTAAGTAAAAGCACACAGAATGGACCTGCCAATGTTGTGGCAACCTAGATACAAAGAGTCTCAGAGACCTTCAGGTGACATATTACTAATAGACTTCTAATGCTTACCAACCACACTCTGGAAGCTTCACAGCTAATCCCTCTATGGGACAGCCACCATTATCTAGTAGTGTGGTCTCTGTCTGTTCCTCTAGATCCATCCTGTGCCCTTCTGTGCTCTACTTTGCATCATGGGTAGCTGGCTGTAATGGACAACTGCAGCTCTCCTTCCTTATACTAGATTCCAGTAGGATTAAACTATGGTCAAGAGATGGCTACTCGCAGGAAACACCAGCTTCCTAGAACAGGCAGAACAGCATCAGGGCTGAGAGATAGCAGTAGCAGTGTTCCCCCGACAGAAGACACAGATGACTATCACTGGCATACCCACCCCTTCACAGACAAGTCCATCATTATCCTCCATTGTAGGAATGCCCCATGAGCCTAGGAGCAATACTGGCTATTTTATATCACCAGTTCTGGTGTAGGCTATTGCTCATTGGTTTCCCCTTCCCTGTCCACAGTAGTGACAGTTTCTTTATGACAGACTCTTTAATCTAAGGATACAAGTGCATTGTGCTGAGATCTTGCCTGTTGTGATTTTTACAGACAACAGCACTGGACCCTAGAAGAATCACTCCAAGAAAGTGGAGTGGAGTTGGGTCTCAAACCAGACATGCAAGCATCCTGGGGGTGCTTAGCTTTGCTTCTTTCTGCCAATGCAGATTATGGGGATAACTCAGATGGGATCCAGAGAACTGCAGGAATGTAACTATATGCTTTCACACCTGCCTGATGACCTCCATGGGTGGTTGTGGCCAATGCTCATTACTGTTGCCCAGGCTGAGTTTGGATGTAGTAACTCTGCTAATTTCTTCCTTCTGTGTAAAGAAAGTATAAACCCAGGCCAGTAGGATGCCTCAGAAGGAGGAGCTCATGCTGTGCAAACCTGATAACTTGAGTTCTAGTCAACTCCCACAGTGAAAGGAGAGAACCAACTCCTGAAAGTTGTCCTCCAATCTACACACACACACACACACACACACACAGAGAGACACACACACACACACACACACACACACACACACACACACACACACACACACACACACACACAAATAATCTAAAAGAACAAAAACTGTAGGGGCTAGAGAGGGCTCAACAGTTAAGAGCAATGGCTGCTCTTCTGGAGGACCCAGGTCTAATTCCAAGAACCCACATGTGAGCTCATAACCATCTTTAACCCCCTAGGGTTCTTCTTCTGGCCTCTATGGGTACCAGGCACACATTCGACACACATATATCCTTGCAGGCAAATGCACAGACATGTAAAATATTAATTTTTAAAAGTGGCTTTTAAAAAGAAGAAAAGTCCATTTGGAGTCACTTCTGCTCACCTCAGTGCAGACTCCTAGTCGGACCATAAAAGCTTGAGAGCAAGTGGGAAAAGGAAGCATGCCAGACACTTTAGGCCTATTGCACCGAGATATGGCATGTGGTCATTTCCTGTTTCTTGTGGTATCCTTTTTCTCCTTGTAAGGGTGAGGATAAACCACAAAGTTCCTCATGAATTTAGGATGTGGAGGAATGAGTTTTTCACTGTGTGTCTGGGGTAACTAACATTTCTCAACTGGTAGAAAAAGGGAATGAGTACACACAATTGTCCTTCACATGCCTGCCATATCTTTTTGATGGCTGAGAGGCTCTTCACACCATCACATTTTCCCTCCTCCAATCCGAAAAATATAAAGTTACTGAAAAAGTCACAGTGTCTTAAGTACCCACTGACCCTTACACAGAGATTAATACCCAATTCAGAACTTTGATGTAAACAAAACCAAACCCGAAAAAACAAAACCAACACTTGACCATAAGTCTTTTATAGCTTGGGATGATTTTTTTTTTTCATTTTCTTGTTTGAGATGGAAACACTCCCAATATGTAGCCCAGGCTTGTTTCACATTTCCAATCCTCTTGCCTCGGCCTCCTGAGTGCTAGGATTATAGGCCTATCCTACCATTCAGTTTGGTACTTGGATCCTTTTTACTGTCTATTTAGTCTACCAGAATTCTTTGTTCTTCTGGGAGAATTCTTTAATTCATATGCAGTCCTTAAGGTCTTGGTTGTGCAGTCAGACAGCCTGGGTTTATTCTGGTTTGGTCATTCTCCGAGCTTGGGTTTTCCCATGAGCTGATCCTGAGAAAGGTCTTTGGGTACAAACAGCTAATTTGAGAGGCTGTGGTAGGAAGAACCAGTAAGGAAATAGGGACATATTGTAATAGTGGTAGCCAGTCAGTATGGTATGCCCTGAGACAACCCACCACAGGGTGTTCAAGATTCTATTCTGCAGCATCCATGGGAAACTATGGAACACATGCATCCAAAGCTTGCCACCAAAGGAATGAAGAAGATGCTGCTTATCCATCAGCTTTTGTAATGATAAATCTTTTCACCAAGCCACGTGAGCCCCGCTGCCATGTGGGTGGCCAAAATAACACACAGAGACTTATATTAGGTACAATGCTGCTGGCCAATGACTAGGATTTCTTATATGATAACTCAGTCTTAATTATCAACCATAACTACTAATCTTTATATTTTATAAGATTTATATTATGGAGGATGCCAGCAGACTGTATCCTGTCTTCCTGGGATCACATGGAGGCTCCACAGAGAGGAGGAAGAGAACAACTTACTGCTTGTCCCTACTTACATTCTGAGTCTGCCTGATATGTCACTTCCTGCCTGGATCACAAGACTTTACTACATTACCCAGAATCTTCCTTGACTCTTAGTCCCTCCTAACTTGCTGCCTCATTGGCCGAACAGTGCTTTACTCAACAACCAATAAGATAAATATACACAGAAGGACGTCCCCCATCAAGCTTTCGCTTCCTTAGGCTGAGGGTTGCTTTCTTCCAAGTGTGTGAACACTCTAGAACTTGAGTACTGTCTCCTTGTACACAAATGTTCTCCATTGACTCTCACTGAGGAATGTAAGGACTGGTGTCTGTGTGAGGCCAGTGGGAGCCAAGGGGTAATGGGAAGGACTGTCACTACAGTCCACTCTTTTCACACTCAGATCCACTCATGCAACTGCCTAGCACTTTCTCAACCTGCCTGCCAAGTCAGATTTTTCAAAGGAAAGTCAATATTTATAAAAGGCAGGTGCAATCTAAATGTGGTCCCTCCATGAGGAAAAAAGAAACAAAATCACATGTTGGAAACATTCCGTGCAGTGTAATATTGTTTGGGGTGGGACCAACATATTGTAGGACTTCTTAGCCTCATACTGTATGAGCTGATTCTCACCATAAATTTCCTCTTATCCTCCTTCTCTCTGTCTCTGGAGAAATCCTTCTTATAATCCCAAAGACAACTCTATGGATGTACTTCTCTAAAGACAATGTTCAAAGGCTCCCATTCCAACTTTTATAGGATTGACAATACTTTTGCTTTTAAATTAGATTGAATTTTGAAGTGATATTTTTCCATTGCTGAGACTGGTTGTAAACTCCTAGACTCAAGTGATCCTTTTGCTTTAGTAGCTAATATATGTACCTCAGTGTCTGGGTAACAATTACTTCTAGCATAAACTTACAAGAAGTAGTATTAAAACTCCATCTATCTAGGTTTCACAACTGGAGGGCCAGTGACATAGCTCAGTACAGAACTGGAGGAAAGACTAGGGAGAACCAGGGAATGGGTTGTAAGTGCTGGCGCCCCCAGGATCAAAACCAGGAGCTCTTATGTCCCATGAAGACAAACATGGATGATCTAGCTCAAGAAGAGAGGACAGACTGGCCCTTCCTTCACATCTGTGTTCTCTTTGGGGCTTTGTATTCCAAGACAATTCCTATTCACACTGCCAAGGATGGTCTCCTTTACTAAGCCTGATGATTCCAGCACTATCTTCTTTTGGAAGCATCCTTGGAGACACATCCAGAAACAGCACTTTCCATCTATCACCTAGCCCAGTCAGGCTTGCATGTAGAGTGAACCATCACAGACCCCATTTCTTGCTGCCATTCTGGATCCTAACCCTAGCCTTGCACCCTCTTGTCCCATCTCCTTCAGTTACGTATCCCCATCTCTGTCCAAGTGCCCATCTCCTCGCTCTGGTAGCATACTCTGTTCTTACATACACACCCTGTGCCTTGTGTGATGCCTGGAAACCTCTGTGTCACCTTCTGTTGCTGGTTCTCTCTGGAGACACAAATTTTCCCTCTGATTTGAATTTGAATATTCTGGTTCCCTTCATGCCCAAGTTCTTCTTCTTTTGCCCAACAAATTCTTCTTCTTTTGCCCAACCTTCAACACTAAGACAAGGATTTTTCAGTTACATAAAAGAACAAATAGTATAATTTAACCAGTAAACATGGACCACAGAGTAATTTCTAACAAAAAGAAGAAGAAGGAGAAGTCATCAATTAAAAGAAGAGATGGGATAGGGTGTTTGGTAAGGTCACAAACAGCTGTAACCACAACCACTAAGACTTGGGTCATCATTTACCATATTAACATACCACACATACCTCAGGCTAACTAAAATATAAAGTCACAGTTGAAACTCATTAGCTTGAAATACATTGTTAATCATGAAACCTTAGGATGCAATGCAGAAAGCATAGGCCTAAGCTGGAATAACACAACAGTATTTGTTGAATTACAGGGGAGTGCCTACTTAACATTTTTAATCAAGCATTACCAATGATAACATATTCATGATATGGTTCTGAATAAAAGACAACTTCTTGGAGCTCAGTTCCTTCATTATAGAATGCAGGCCCTCTGTGGGTCCCTTCCAGGTCTAAAAGTCTCTTCTGTGAACTGGGTTAGCATCCATTTTTTCGTTATCCATGGAATAGGTGTCTCCTTCAGTCATGTGCTCAAAATGTCTCTGTTAGAGACTGCTTTCTTGACAAATCTGTATAAAATAATGTCTCTGGCCCTCTCATGTGACTTTTACACCCCTCACGTTTCAGTACTTTCTCCTCATATACTACAGCATTCTTGTGGATTTATCCATTGTTTTCATCTGCCTCCTGATACAAGGGTCCTAGTACACAGAGCTGCCACAGCTGTGTCTCCAGCACCTCGAACAACACTGGCCTCATCGGAGGGGCTCAGTGTAGAGCTGCTGACTAACACGGAACTTAAACAAGCTACAAGGAATACAAACTTGAGAAGAACATGAGCACTGTTTAAGAAAGTAAGCTTTCACATCTCTGGGCCTTGTCTCAGAAGAGCTTATTGCTCTGAAATTAATGCAGCTAACTCTACCCCTCCCCCATTTCCTTTCTCAACACCAACTCCCCCACGTGCACCTCTTTGCAAGCCTGGTCTTAATTATTCTTCATCGTGAAGGGGATTCCAATGACATGCATTTCTGATAGGTTTTGTTTGTAAAATTCGGGTTTGTTTGTTCAGGCTGGCTTTCTCTAATTACAGTGCTCCTGACAATGGCCATTGGGTAGCAGAGAGTTTAGTGTCATATGCCATGCTAATCCCCTGGAGGATGTGTTTTATAAGGCAGTGTCATTTCCATTCTGTAATGCGATGATCCAAGTTTGAGTCCTGGCTTTGTAGCGTTAGTTGTATGGTTTGGAATATGTTATCTAGCCTCTCCAGGCTGTCATGTCTGCATCTATAAAATATAGTGATTATTCAAGATTTTTTGCCTACTTTTCCTGTCATCTTCCATGCTGCCATGTGTTGGGAGTTGACAAAAACCTGAGTGTGTGGAATCCTTGGATCAGGAAACCCTGGCAGGAGGTCCAAAGGCAGAAGGAAGAGGGTAGAAATGGCTACACTTTATTCCCTCCTGTACTCGAAGGGTGTATAAGGACTTCATTATTTGTGGCTACAGTCTCAGTAGCCTCTGTGTTGTGGCTATGGATGGCACTTGCTCCTAATGACCCCATACTCCTCTCTGGCCCTTTCAGACCTGAGGCACTAAGAGTTTTCAGCTCCTACCTGTTCCAGATACACTGTGTTCTTTGGAGACTCTTGGTCCTTTCCAAGCTTTTCAAAATCATTGCAC